TAATAATAAGAATAGATAATAATGTACACAGCTCTATTAAAATGTTAATTAAAATTAATGAACCATAACATTAATAAGATAGTTAATTTGATTTAGCAAGTGCTAGACTTGTGTCTATTCTAAGTTTTATTGTAGTTCAAGCTTGGCTGTTTTCACTAGAAACTAGAAGCTGTGCTTTTCTATTTAAACAATAATCTGTTAGATATGTCGGTTAAAAGCTTTGTTTTTTTGACTTATTTTTATTAATGTATTTATTAACACTTCGTTTCAAGTATACAGAAATACAGAACAATTAAAACAACTTGCAGTAGTTACGCTTATCAAACTAAGAACGCCTGAATTAGCTACTAAACCACGGCTGTACGTGGGGTATACAGAAATATGTACATATAAGTATATCAATATGAAGAAAATCTGTAGAATTTATTAAGATCGTGAAGTTTATGTTAGGAACATATTTCTTTGCTGGAATATTCTTTCGTGTTAATTCATTCTTTAACAAACAAAAAGCATATCAACGTATACGTTTTGATGTCACTACAGTTGATAATTCTCATTTATTAATAACTTAATTAACCCAAAAGTATATTTTATTATTTGATTCCTATTTGTTTTACCTAATGAGACGAATAAGCTTTGTTAGTTATCAAACTGATAGGTTTTTCAATGCGTTATCTGCAAGTTTTTGTGTTCTGTGACGGTTTATGACTATTTTCAAAGATTTTAGACCGGCACCGCGATATCACTTAACATCATAGCCTCCTGCCCGTTTGCCCTCTGAGCTATAAAAAAGAAAAAAAAAGCTCCTACCAGCTCATTATTTCTCCTATAACATACCTAAGTACGGACTAGTTTCTAGTTTAGACAATTTTATCTCGTCTTATAACACCAAAGGTGCTCCAACCTCTTAGGTTTGGGCTTCAGATTTCTGTATATTTTCCGTGATTATTTCTAATAGGCAAGTGATCAACCTTCTGTGGCACACACCGTCGTTTTGGGTCCAATGCATGCCGGTTTCCTCACTCCTCACGTTTTCCTTCACAGTACGACCGAGTGTTAAATGCACATAGATACTTCATTGCACAGCTGGGTATCGATCCTACAACCCCAGGGATGAGAGATGTACGTTAAAACTAGACCAGCATAGCTTTATAACGACTTTTACTATCGTATAATAGGTTCAATGCTCGCCTCGTCAAATTATAGGTGCACTGATTCTTTTTAAATTGTTTTAGTTGTAAGTACTATATTTGTGTAGGTATACTTGGAACGTTAAAAAATAAAAGATAACCTTACTTATGTATATTCGAAAATATGTTTTCTTTTTTAAATTGTTCTTAAAGCCAGGAAGTCTTCTATTTCAATGTCTCGTAGTTTGTTTACAGAGATTCGTCTCATGAGATTTTTGGTATACCTACAAAAAGCAAAACCTCGCCCTTGACTAAATAACAAAATATAAATTACTCCACAACACTTGTAATATAACATGACGTCATCCAAAGGCACCGAACAAAAAAGCAATAATTTCATCCTAACAATAGAATCACTTCCTCATAAAAACATAAGCCACATATATAACACATGTATAAGAAAACCAACCCTATTTAAACAGAAATACGATATAAATTACGGTAACCGGAGACAAATTATACAACGCACACACAATGAACGCATACATGAACAGTGCACGTACGAGGTCACGCACACATAGGTCGTCGCGTTTTAATTGGCGAGGGCGTGCGCGGGCGCATATATCACAGATCTTTGAAACGTAATAAGATTTAGAAAGGTTGTCTGTCTGGTATGAGTGTTTTGAAATGACCAGTCCGTTGCGTTGTTATTAGCATGGTTATGTAAAGTATTCGTTAATCGCTATCAACATAATTTATCGTTAGAGGTATTTGTTAATTAGTAGCTATCTATTGATGCTATCAGCGTTATTTAAATCTTCTATATAAATTATTTTTATATAATTCAATATATTAATATACCATATTAAATTAATTAGGAAACTAACTACATTATACTTAGGTGTAGATTACAGACTAGTAGGTGATCATATTACAAAAAAAGGAATTCCAAATTGGAACTCCATATGGAGGCGAATTAACGCAAAAGGAAAAAACATTACACTGACGTAAGATAAAAACTATAGTCATATTTAATTAAACCAAAATTCAACTACAATAAAACTGTCGCTAAAAACTGGTTTAATAATACAAAAGGGAAACATTATTGACCGGATGTGGCCCCGACGCCATTGTGCGCCATCTTGTTTTTATTAAATCGCGGCATTTTTGTTGTGAACTTTATGTTAGCTTGTAATTATTTTTAATGTTAACGAACTCGGTAAAGTATAATGTTTTTAATTTAAAAGCTAAAATGGAGTGGTTTTGAAAGCTTTGTTTGAGCCTGTTCCCAAGTAGGTATATATTATTAGATAAATTGTGTCTCTTTGATACCGATCTCTTTGATATAGACTTTTATCAATGTTTATGTTCGTTTTATTTTAGATTAAGTGCCATTAATTACACTTAGTAAAACTAGAAATAAACGGACCTACCTATTATTCAAATTTGTATAACTTATTTCTTTTTATGTGTTTCCTTGGGGCGGTTATAATAAACCGATAACCATTCCATATTTAAGGCCGGCAACGTACTTGCGAGCCATCTTGCAATGAGTGTCCATGGCGATATCATTTAACATCAGGAGAGCCTCCTGCTCGTTTGCCGCCTATTAAAAAAAATACATTAATAATATACCTACTTGGATATGACTGGGACTTTGATAAAGAATAACCAAACCAAATTAATCAAACTTTTGAACCATTAGATAATTACCTATACTCAATAGCAATCAGACTTTTGAAACAAATACCGACCACACCACATCACACACAACGCAATCCTAATAAGCTACCCAAAAAACGCACTTTCTTCGTCTGCTTTTTCTCCTTCAGCTTTAACCACTAACAATACAAAATTTTCCACTAACGATTCAAAACTTTATTCACTAACAATCTTAAGCAACCTCTCAACCTGTCCTATGCTGAAGCGGAAAGTATTCTTCTTGTGCAACAGAAGTTTAATTATAAAATTGTTAGTGTTGTGTAGAATTATTACGTCAGTAAAATCATTAATATGTCAAATGGAAGAGATAAGCCCACGACACAGGGAATCCTAGTGTAGGGAATTTTTAGATTATTCATTTGTTTTCTCTTATAATTTGAATTTTATTGTGTTTAATGGAAGTGACGGAAGTTTGCCTATTGCGTAATAAAAACAATTGAAATACATATTTGTGTTTAATCCTAATTGGTCGTAGATTTTGCCCTTACAACTTCATAGGTCAACTTACCCCGGGTGAACAGTCAACCAACCCCCAAGCATGGGTAGGTTGACCAGTTTTTCCTATTACACAAGAACTGGCCTGTGCTTTACATCATATTGAACATAGTGCTTATTGTCACTTCTTTCCAAAGCTCAATAGTTAATCTATTAACTGAACTTTTTAAATTAATATACTCTAAAGAATTGAAAATAGAAACCTTTAAGCTGAAACTTGGTCAACCAACCCCGGTCTCTGTACTTCTTTTTAAATAAACCTCCTTTTTATTATATATAATATAGTTTTTTTCTTTTAAATCAAAATCCATAAAAGTTAACCCTAAGTGTCCATTTAACCTTCAACCTGACCGTTTAAAAAGATAATTAATTATAACATAGATCCCTCCGACATGCATCAAAAAGCACCCGTGTTTGTTTTATAGCACTATTGTTTAGGAATTTGAGGTACAATATACCGGGATGGACAATTGTTTGTTATATGTTGAAAAACGTAACATAAATATATTATTTCCAACACAATTATACAGTATTTACAATATTCTTAATTATTTCCGTTTTTTTTATAAATGTTGCCAGCGTTAAACACTGCCACAGGGACCAAACTTTTAGAATTTGTTTTAATTTTCTTTTTTTTATACCTACATATTATTGTTACTATGCAGGTTGTAAATACTGTTGAAAAATAAAATTTTATATTTTCTTTTTTTCAAACGCACTTGCGAGCCCTCTGGGCACTCACAATGCCTAAGGACTCGCAAGTGCGTTGCCGGCCTTTTAAGAATTGCTACGCTCCTTTCTTGAAGGACCCTTAGTCGAAGTAGTTTAGAAATACTTCTAATACATTCAGGAGTGAATTTTCGCTTTATACAGTTGCAAGCGGTGGCCCCGAGTGAAGTACCGTCTTGCCTTGCTGAGCACACCAAGCTTTTTGGAGGCTAATTTAGCCTTTCCCTCGTGAATGACCGCGAAACTGAATGTCGTTCGATATGTCAACGCCAAGTATTCCGATGCTGGCTGTGGCTTTAAGAAGACTGTCTTCGAAAAGAGGAGTAGCGACAAAGGGGGTTTTTACTTAACATTAGGTGTGCCTGCCCATTGCGCCCAGTTCTATAAAAAAAGTAATATTTTTATATTAAAAAAATATTTTTAATATAAAAATATTCTTAGATATATCTGTTGGCAGTATCTATCTTTTATCTCAATGATAATGTTTTATATTATCTTATTATGTGGGTTAAGCAGTGTTGGCCTAGCTTCTAAACCGCCTCGAGCATCTATGTGTAATGACTGGCGATTCTTGTCTATTAAACAAAGAAAACCAAGAATGGGTTACAGAACACCTAGGCAAGACCTGGTTCTAGGGCCATTCGTTTTACGGTTTATAGTTAAATCATTACGTAAATGGGTTTCGCCAAAAGCGACATAAACGGGCTTTGAATGTAGACCCAGCCTTACAATGCATTTTCACATTGACATCATGCGTGAGCGCAGGCCTAAGTTCCCTTACATAACACTTACCTAAAGATTTAAATCGATACCTCGACGGTGCTCATTCATTCAAATCAATCAAATCAAAATACTTTACCCAATTTAGACGGTACTGAGAGCATGCTATGAAGGTAACCAGCGTGCCTTAATAAATAGTCACGAATGAGTCAGACTACGCTCATCACGTTCGCAATATTACCGGCTGAGGCCTTGTTCTATGAAGCAACGGGCAAGAAAATCAAGAATTTTCATTTACAGAAATGTAAGGCAAAGGAAAATGTTATAGTGCCAATGGTCTTAATGGGTAACTATAGTTAAAAAAATAAAAAATCTGTTCTGTGATTTCCTAAACATTCGACATCAAACAGTATTTGAATTAAATTACAAATCAAGTTAATAAGGATAGGGTTATAACTATTGCGCACGCTGTTCTTATCTTCCCTGAGATAACACTGACCTTTCAGATTTAAAACAGATACATAGGTTTTATCATTAGTTCAATTTGTTTGTTTTAAAGGAAAATATTATTTCGAATATTTTTCGAATAGTATTATTTATTTATTTCAAAATGACAAAATTAAATTATTGTTTGTAGTTGTATATAGAACAATTATGGAGTAATGTATAACTTGTTCCAACAATATTACATACGTATATACGAGTAGATTACATCCAGATTAAATTCAGTTAAAAATAACTGTGGAATGGATCTTACAATCAGAATTATAAGGTAATTATTCCTTTGAAGTTATTTATTAATTTACACCATAATATCCAAAATTTCAACAAAAAGTATTAGAAAATATGTTTTTATACAATTGACTTAATGTCCTTATAACCTATAGGGCAGAGGGCGTCCAGAATGTGTCTCCATCGCGTTTGGTCTGAGCCTCGTATTTCACTTCGCTCCAAGTCTTTCCAGCACTCTTCGCCTCATCTGCAATAGCAGATTACTAGCTATAAATTAACCTTCTCTAAGCACGTTTTAATGTCATCTTATCATGCTAGTTTTATAAGCTTAAGAACTAATTCACCAAAATAAAATTGTGTTATTATTACATCTTCGCAAACAAATTCAACTCTACAATACTCGTAGGTACCTTTTGCATAACATTGTTATGTAAATAACCTATGAATTTGCATAGAATATACCAGTTTTGTTGCGTTTTTCTTGGTACTTGCTTCCTCGTCATAAATAATTTGTAACTCTTACAATACGTATTCTATATTTGTACGAAGTGTGTTTAAATAATTTAGGCTAGTGAACGATTAGTTTTGTCACTGATTAGAACGTTCGTTTGTTTATTATCTGGTCAATTTTAATTTAAAAATCTGTTGAAAAATGTATAGTGCTATTTCAAACAGTGTATTCAATATTCAATCAGATATCAAAATTTGTGCCCGCCGGAAGCGAGCCAGGAAGCCTCTTCCCCTCCATTTGAATTGAACAAACGTTCTATTTTTAAATCGTGTACACAGATAATAGATGTAAGTGCGAATAGTTTTGATTGTTCAATGCTTTTCTGGCAATCTTTTTACGCACATTTGTAATTTGTATCACAAACATTTTGAATATTAAATTTATTTATGCATAATAAACAATACCTAGTCCAGGGTATTTTCTTACATTATCTACTATTATTGCCACTAATCAGCGTGTCTCTCGACATCCAAATGTCGTCATGTTGATGTGTCCTCCGCTCTTCTGTACCATTCTACCCCGTGTAGATTCTTCTTATGTACAAAAAATTCAAAGCAAATAAAAACTTAGGAACAGATAATTATCATTTTATGTTTAGAAGATTTAAGTGGCAACACACTAATAAGACATTCTTATTAGTAAAATAGGATATGGTGGTAGTATATACTTTGAATATTGAATACTTTTTTAGATTTTTACATGCCTTTGTCGTGCTTCTAACAAAAGGTTTATTGCGCTTATATCAAACACACCAGTGGTTTTATGTATACCATGATTTAGGTTATTAAGTCAAATAAAGTTAAAAAAAGACGTTGATATGAAGTTTAGAATGAGTTGACATATTTTTATATCTTTAATACTATTGGAATAAACTTAAGTGAAATGGCCATCCATAGACACACATAAGTAATAAAAAGACAAGCTTTATAACCACAAATCAAGTGAGTCCCCTAAGCTAAGTTCGATTTTCAAAAGAAATTCCTAAAAGAAAACTCATCTAATTACGTTACGTACGCAAGTGGTGACACCTGGCGGATGACGTTAAGATTCCCGCCTAGTCCCCACTTCCGGGGCGCCATCTTGTCCGCCATTTTAATTACTTAAGGGTGTTTTTTTATAATCTTCAAGAGATTTGCATAACGAGATGTTCTAACGTTATTTCTGTTTAAGGCTTATGCTTTTCTTTATTTATATTTTTGCTAGAGCTGCCTATATCTAGTAATATAAGGAAAGAAACACCAAAAGCTGATTATCTTATCTATTAAGAAAGCCATTATCAGTAAATTAGCGCTAATGTGTCTACTGTCAAATGTCACTACGCCTTATTATCGTGATCGTAGGTTCAAACCCCTTCTGCCTTGCTTTTTGAACTACTTTTCGAACTACAATGGACTCTATGTGCGTCGCGCTCAAATCAGTCGGCATTTAGACATTCTGCTACGAACGGTGAAGGAAAACCAAAAATAACGTGTTGGCCCGAGGAACACTTGCAGAATCGCACGCAGTGCTCAAATGGATCATGTGCGCATTTAACATTCGCTCGAACGGTGAAGAAAACATCGTGAGGAAACTTTTCCTGGCACAGGAGGCTGATTACTTTCTTACCTCTAGATTGAGAAATTATCATGAAACAGGTTCAGAAATCCCAGACTAAATTTGTAGGCCCTATGATTAATTAGCATGCTAATACTTTAATAAAATTTATTAAATATGCATGCTAATGTGTCTTGTATTCTAATTGAAAGAATTATTCGACCTGTATTTGCAAATTCATTTAAATAAGATTATATATAAGTACCTATATAGACTTTTAAGCAAACAAAACGCTAGCTTTCTGTCATATGTGGTCTGTAATTGTAAACCTACAATATTTGTGGTGCTTACGTAAAATAATTCTATATATTTGCCAAAAATAAACCTGTATCCAACATTAAAAGCCCTCCCGGGTAAGAGTGTCTTACCCGGGTGGGGCGCTCACGAGGCGTGACCATCGATCCGTCACGCCTTGCGCCCGGTCGATACCCGGGTAGCCGTGATCCGGCTACGGATATCACAATCGATGACAAGTGCATTATTGTTTGCTTGTTATCAAATGTTTTGGAATGAGGTTAGGCATTTACAATTAAAATATATATTAACGGAAAATAATAGGTAACGCCAAAGAAAAATTTTGAAAATTTGGTAGCTTAATAATAACCAGACTTCCCCCGCGATCTTCATTTCGCCTTAATATGATTGTTTTCTTAGCCTATCTTTTTAGTAGCTACAAACCAACAATATGGAATATTTTGCTATACACCATAGAGACTGTTCGCTTTTCCGGAATAAAAACCAAAGTACTAAATAAAACTATTTTTTAAAAAAAAAAAAAAAGGAATAAATTAAAAAAAATAGTCGATTTGGTCCAGCCGTCTTTGACTTAGCTTAGCAACATTTTTGCGAATAGTTAGAATTAGTTCAACTGCTCTTAGCGTCGAATGTTATTTAATAATAGAACTATTATATCCCACTTAGATTTTATTTAAGCAAAGCATCAGATGATAACTATTTCCACGATGCAATGAAACTAATAATTATACACGGGGATATAAACACACAAGTAACCATATCTTTCCTTTCAGGTCATGGCGGCGTGAATCAACTAGGCGGCGTGTTTGTAAACGGGCGGCCGTTGCCCGACGTTGTACGACAGCGGATAGTGGAGCTGGCGCACAGTGGCGTTCGGCCATGCGATATCAGTCGGCAACTCCGAGTATCGCATGGATGTGTCTCTAAGATACTTTCTAGGTAAGTCTAAATCAGATGTTCTAGGAATCGAGTATAGATTTAGGGCAGATTTGCCCCAATAAGGCGTTTTTGTTGTCTGTTGTGTATTAATGAATAAAAAATTGTTGTAGCAAGTGTTTTATCAGCAGCAGCTTGTATAAACGAGCAATATGAATGTATATTTAAATATAAAGAATTATACACCCACAAATTAATTAGCGCATAATAACGCAAAATACCTACAATAAACGTAGTTAGACAGACAAAACTCATTCTTACTTGACCTGAAAGAATTAAATTTTCTAATTGAAAATTCTAAAATAGAACTGATTCATAGATCACTTCTGCGTTCCGCGGCCTGCACATGGCGCGTGCGCATGTTCATCCGTTAGTCACTTATGTCATTTACTATTGTTCTTTTGTTTGGGAGGTAATTTAAGAGGGTATTGGAATACTTTGTTTAAGCATTGTAATATGTATAACAAAATATCGTTTTTCTTGTTCTTTTAATACATCTTTATCGTAATAACTTTGCCATTGTGTTTTATATACTTGTCCTTGTATTTGGAGCCTACGAATTTAATTTACCTTTTAAACATATATGTGGAAACATAATAGTTTTTTTACGTAATAGGATGAAAACGGACAGGAGGTTCATCTGATCTTAAGTGATACCACCCATAGATAATCATTGCCAGAAGGCTCGCAAGTGCGTTACCGGCCTTTCAAGAATTAGTAAGCTCTTTTCTTGAAGGACCCTTAGAATGGGTTCGGAATTTTTTCAGTGGGCAGCTGGTTCCACATAGTGGTGGTGCGCGGCAAAAACATAACAGTGTTTATTTTAAAGACACAAATTAGCAGATTTTCATCGTTTACTATTTCTTGTATATTATGACGAATAATTACGAACTAGACATTTTTAATATGATACTAGATGACCTGACCTGACTTCACACGATAAGGCACTTTTTGACTCAAGGATGATATAGCATTCTAATGATGAAAGAATGATTATATATTTTTATAATTCATTTTTTTGTTTTATTTTCGATATTATCGTACTGGTTTAGTTAGTACTGTAAGGATAGGGTTTGTATTTTTTGTGAATAAATAAAGTTTTAATATAAAATGGTATGAACTTGAGAGATTTATTTAACAAATGTAACAAAATATTGTAAACCTATTTTAAAAGAGTAAGTGTGGAGTTTCTTGCCCATTCTTCTCCACACGAAACTACCTTTTGGAAGGGGCAACTAGAATCATCTTTATATTTTTTTTTTGACGTTCAAAAGTGCCATTTTAGATGGTCTAATTGAAATAAACATTTGACTTTGACTTTGACTTTGATACAATAGCTTTAGCGGCTTTCTCTCCCTTTGATGAGCGTTTTCAGTCACTTTCCACTTTTGCGGTGCTAATGGACATTGGATGACGATGGAGTACCTACTAGAGATGGGCAAATCTTCCATCACATTTCGTCTGCTTTTGAACGGTATTACACTTTTGCACATGTTTTCTTAATTCGATTCACTAAGCCTTCTCTACATACTAAGATACCCCGAACATGAAATTCCATCGGTGATGCAAAATTAAAAATATTTTTTTCAACGATCGATATTTTTCCATTAAGAAATTGTAACAACAAAAATTTTGAATGAATTTGAATTTGGAACCATTAACAAATTAAGCATTCCTGATACTTTTTCACTCAAAAAATTATCCATAAAAAGATATCGAAGACTCTAGTCAAAAACAATTTCGCATTTTGGCTTGACAAACAAATTCATAATACAAGTATTGTATGTTAACTTAATAGACCCCAAATGAAATCCCAACTCACAATGATATGAATGAAACGAGCATCGGACACTGCTATTGTCTGATTTAAATTGAAACTGACCCACTAGGGATGGACCAACTGGTTTGTCGATGTTAAAGTCCAAAATCGTTAAAATTTAAATCGCCACACGGGTTTCCAGTCTCGCAGTATTCTGACTTTAGTAATTTAAGGCAATAATTAGCTTCGTAGTTTGGACATTAGTGTGCTTTTAACATTAAAATTTAGGGTGATCATTTAATACCTACAAATCCGTAACAATTGTTGTGCTGGAAATTATACCTATAATCTCTGTGTTATAAAGTATTCTTGTATTATACATTTAACCTACAACGGCGACTCCAGCTGTAGGTACCTAAGTTTGTAACATATTTATTGCTATAGTACTCAATATTTAAATAGACGTCAACTTACGACGCAGGTAGAAGGTAAATTCCTATTTCGTATAAAATTACGATTCATAATTTCATTACTAATTTTATTTATTTATTTCGTACTCCTACAAGTCAAAACTTAAATTGTGGTCGTTGTATGTCCGGGCTGCGCGATACAAAACTGAGTTTTTTTGTATTGGGGTTGAGGTGGAACGTGAAACAGAAGATTACGAGTCTGGTAGTAACTACTATTAAGTTTATCTGAGATGATATCCAAATTATTATTTAAGTAGGGTTTTGTGTACTTATTTAATACGCTTTAACACTTGGTTACATGTTATAAGTTATTATATTTTAGACATTTATCGACCCTAGTACATCCCTATTCCCACGGGATCGCCCTGAATAGAAACAGTCGGTATTGTTTTTCAATTTATTTGCCCCGCGCGTCTCTGTTTTGAATTTATACAACAATGCAAAGCTATTTCTGTCTTCCTGTTGTCATATCTCTACATACATCCCATTGGGTATATACGGGATAGCATTATCAATGTCCTGTATCCATACTTATTTAAAACATTTGGAACCTTATAAATTAAAAAAGTAAAGAACGTATAATATTCTACCGCTCTAATACATTATTATAATTAATTTATGTTAACAAGCCCAGTACTAACGAACTGTCAATTGTTAAACACAACCCACCCATCAGTGTCAATGAAATTTTCCTGGTTTATATTAAAACCGAAATCAGAAAGTAGTCCAGTCTTGTGTCCGTATATAATAATTATTACCTTTTTTCTGTCTGTACGTCGGCAGGCAGAAAGCGTGACCATTGCCACACTTCCGTTTTATCACATAGATCAATTTTAAGCCTTATAACCATGCAACAGAGTTCATATTTCACCTGCTAATAAGGCCACTGTACGCTTGGCAAAGAAATAAAGTTACTATTTTATATTCCATAGGAATATCTGTTTTATTCGAGGCTTATAAGTGTTGAATTGCTGTAATGCAATTCACGTACGAATTTTGTTTAGAATTACGAATTAAAGTAACGCACGATGTTCTAGATTTTAGTTATCTTTTAATTTATCTAATATAGTTAGCTGTTTTCAAAACTGGACTGAACCGCGTTTTATTTCACAAAAAACGTAATTGACGAAGAATTTAGAAGGTTATTTCAGTATAATAAATCAATAGAATACCGTCATATTGTCATTTTCATTATAATATATTCGGGGATGCTTGGCGGACCCGTGCCACGTTTAATACAAAGTGTCCCCTCGTGAGGTGTGTGCTGAGATATTGCGGGCTACTTGATTGTGAGGAAGTTGCATGGATCTGATAGCGCTGCGCCTTCTTAAGTTCTCTTGGTACTTTCACGCATGTATATCCTGATTCTGATCTGATTGTCCTCCTTGTAACATGTGTGATGTTTGAGAGCAGAAATAAAATAAAAAAATAATAAATAAATTCGGAGTTTAGCTACGACACTAATTATGAGGATGTTGATATTTTCCACCTAACCAAAGAGGAGGTTTTTTTTTGTCTTAATTGTTGTTACTTTAATTTTAAATTTCAGTTTTCTTTTATTTTTTACTTTTTGCCCATTAACGTACTTATGTTAGCTGTAAGATTACTAATAAATATGAGCTTTATCTAGCTTATCGTGATATCTGACATACTATGTCTCTTTTAAACTATACACGTTTCAATTAGCTTTGAGTTAATATTAATGTTTCTTATATTTGTTCTATAAATACTACTAAATATAACTACTGCCATAGCATAAAGCAGAATTATTGGTAGAACATACAAGTACTTATTTACGTTTGCTTGCCATATTTGATAAGATAATCAAACGAATTTATATAATATATCTTACTTAAGAACTTAAAAAAAAATATAAATAGTAACACAATATATAAAATGTAACTATATTATTAATAGTAATACAATGTATAGATAATAAATACTTGTAAGCCAATTTGAGGCGTAGTAAACATATTGCCGATCTTGATAAGGCTAATAAGCTTAGATTATGGGAGCTTACAGCACTCCACTTGTATCAATAATTGAGGGTTGATCGCGGACTTGCTCACTGATTCCAAAATTCCAAGTGTTGATTCCTTATATGAGCATTATATGTTATGCCAATCGTAAAGGTAAAGGTCTGTTTCTTTTATTAAAAAAAGGCTTCAGCAATGACTATTTATGAAAAATTAAACTTGTATAGCTTAGCTAATAAGCACATGACCGAGGTACTGGGTTCAATTATCACCATCATATTAATGTAACAAATTCTTTCTGTAATCACTTATTCTGAACAAGCTTTCTCTAGTAGCAATAATTTATAGTGTCATTGTAATGTAAAAGAGCATATTCCAGGGCACACAACAGAGAACCCGGTGTCCCAAAGGACTTAAAACATAGTACCCTTGTACTGTGTACTGTCAAATAGAAATTATATTGAAAGTTTTAGTTATATTTTAATTTTCTAGAGTTAAAATTAATATTGCTTTAGTTAAACCTACGACAAAAAGTAAAACCTTTAATTTAGTTTAGAATGAAAAATCATCTAATTTAATCACTAAATACCACTTGGGTAGTTAAGTGACGTGTTAAGTACAAGATTCTAATCAAGACAATAATATTGTCTTTGGTTTACACGAGTGCATATTTTATATAAGTTATGTTTTCTGATTGTGTGTGTGACTTTAAAAAAACACTACTCTAAAAACCTACATATAAGGTCTAATGAGACGAAAACTTAAATTGTGATTAACCAGTTTTTTACGGAAAAACAATTCTGTTAAGATTTTATTTCTTCAAACTGAATTGGACCACTTTTCCTCACGACTGTCCACTCTCATAGGGTGTGATCACACTCATAATTGACTTATCAAGATACACCCACCCCTGACACAAAATTACTTAAGTGCGGTGCGATCCGATTAGATTTATCTACTTGTCGTTACCGAGCCACTTACGGAGGTTCTTGATGCAAAATATCCTGATATAAAAATTATCAACAAACTCTGGTTAATATGTCTTTAAAAAAAACCAGTTGCGCTACAACCTTTAAGATCGTTACATGATAATTTTTTTGTCACACACCGTCGACTTTTTGGGTATGACTCTTTTCTCGCGATGTTTATCTGCACCATATGAGTTTTAAATGCACTATAAACACATGCGTGACTGAAAATACATTGGTGCACAGCCAACAGTCGAACTTACGACCTCAGGGATGAGTGTTGCACGCTAACAATTTGTATGTTTGTCACTCACTCACTAATAACTCACTCATAACTTGTAATGCTTGAAGTTATTTAACTTAAAATTATAAATTACCTAAATCAAAAGGAAAACGTAACAATATTACGTCGACTAAATACATTTAATATAAAATTATGATAAAGGTTAAAAATAATTCCTTAGAAGCTTTTTCTCAAAGGAACCTGGTGACATTATAATACCAAGTACTTTCAAATGACAATTGTAGCTTTACAAATTTGCGAAGATATTACCGCTAATATAAATGTAACAATAATATGTAACCTAATTAATCCAAGAGACTTTACTCATAATTTTTAAAAACTACTATCTAACGTTCATACATTAAGATTGTTACTGTCTATCAGTCTTATAAACATTACTCAGCTTAAAAATAGGGTTGCAATAATCGAATTGTCATAATACCCCTCCATTATTTTATTGAGCAGTCAAAATTTAATTTAGCTTTAATGCCATGCCCCGTGGGAGTAGGCCGTTCCTTGTTTATGGTTGATTTGGGAATACATTGATTGTATAGTGATGAGGCAATATGGTGTGATTTCGCGCTGGTATAATATAGAATATCGCTCGTAGTAGGAATCAAATATATTGTTTTTGTTATTGTAATGAAACCTTTGTACCTATAGGGCAGATATTACATAGTTTTATGAAATACTAGCTGTCCCCGCGAACTTCGTTTCTGCTTAATGTGATATTACTTAGCCTACCTTTTTAGCACATTCCAACATGGAACATTTTGCTATGCTACCCCAGAGACTGTTCGGTTTTCTGGAATGAAAACTTTTTAGGTTTTCTGTGAATTTTTCTCTATATAAACCTCAGAGTACAAGTCATTAGGTTTTAATTTACAAATAAAAAATAGGGGTTGATCGTAGAAGGGTGAACATTAAGGGTTGTATATATTTTTGTATGCTGTATCTATCAAAAAAAAAAATATCTTAAAAATAAAAACAAAAAATTTATATGTGGACCACCCTGAACATTTAGGAGTTTGAAAGATAGATAGTAGCCAATTCTCAGACTTACTGAATTTGCATAAAAAATGTCATAACAATCGGTCGAGCCGTTTCGGAGGAGTATGGGAACGAACATTGTGACACGAGAATTTTATATATTAGATTAGACTAAAACTGACTTCATTTATATCTAAACTAAAAGTTGCACGTGTTAATTAAAATATCTACATATATTCCTTATACTTAATATAAGCGCTTAACAAGCCACAGAGCTCTATATACGATTCACGTTTAACTAGATAATTTATTTTTCTTTCCAGGTACTATGAAACGGGTAGCTTCAAGGCTGGTGTGATTGGCGGTTCTAAGCCGAAAGTGGCCACCCCACCAGTAGTCGATGCTATTGCGGCGTACAAGAGAGAAAACCCTACTATGTTCGCGTGGGAAATTCGTGATAGACTTCTCAGTGAGGGCATATGCAGTCAGGACAACGTGCCCAGTGTTTCAAGTATTAATAGGTAAGTATCTTAACCGGGGCTCGAACTCGGGCGGAAAATTAATCATTTCATATGTTATTGATTTTATGGTTTCATCATTCACGGCGCACGTTTAATGGGATTTATTTTACTGATTTGTAAAATATATTTTCTTTACTATTTGAAAAAGATTTCAATGTTCCTGCCAAGTCTCTACGTTAACCTTTAACCTTCCAACTCCCAGAAGCAACATTGGCTTCCGCAAGTCTCTTCACAGGATATGTTCTGCTTTGGATTCTGCCACTAACATCGACCCTTTTTCGCACTCCCCTACTGCTTCATTTAAGAATAATTTAATACCACTATTTATGTCCTAATCCTTGTATCATTCTTACTAGTATGTTTGTCGTTCTCCGGACTTATAAATTTTGTGCTGTCATGTTTGTTTTGCTTTGCTTTATAACATATTTTTTTATCAGTGAAATTTTTTGTGAATACATCCAATGTTTTATATTTTATTTTTTAACTTTTTTATTGTATAGAGATGTATCTGTATTGTTTTACAAATAAATAAATAAGATAGAGACTATTTTTGCAGGAAACAATTGTATTACGTTTAATTGGGACTAGATTATAACATATGTCTTGTTGAAAATACAAATACAATTGCTGACCCAAAATAATTTTGAGTTAAAAAAATAACTCTTTAAAGAAAATTTCATCATAAGAAACTACTTGTATATTAAAATTATTCTATATAATTAAGGAACCTCTCGATATCAGACGAGTTCAGTCTTTAAATTAATTTAAGAATCTTCATTTTGAGCAATTCTCTTCTGCCTCGTAATAAGCTACTTATATATATTAATTATGACTCATTAACCCTAAGATATGCTTTTAAATTGGAATTAATATTTTTTAGATTTTAGGTAAGTTTAGTTTTAGGAGTAAGTTTATGATTTTTTTGTTAATTACTTATGTGCACTACTTGTACCCTCAGTTCGTGTTTCTTTTTTTACTATCCAGTCTAAGGCCTGACCTAATAATTGCCTGGAAGAAATCGCTTGTTAGCGTTTCCTAATAACTTATGTAACCAGTTTTTTATATGTATTTTTAAGGTAACAAAGATGGTACAACATTGAAATTACACATATAACACATTTTCTCTACAGATTATGTTTTCGAAATCTACGCTTTAATCGATAAGTTTATATTATACCAAACCAAATCGAAACAAATTCTGTATACGTAATAGGTATAGGATAACCCCTGCACTTATCGAGAGCGATAGAGTTTTATTGTTCTGTAATGGACTCGAATGAGGGGAGACTAGAGTCTTACACTCTCCATGTTACAATCACACGAACTAATGTTTTTCTATATCACGGTCATACCTGTATTAATATTTTACCAAACGACTGTACTTTATTTTATTTGATAAAAAATAATTAATTATCTTACTAAAGCTGGTCGGAATATTTACTAGTTGTATTAATCATACTCTTCTGAAATTTTCTTGCAAAATGTATGCAATGTGCTGGAAGTCTCGTCTAGGCCGGTATCTATAGACATTCAGAGATGCGACTTTGACCGTGTTACTAGTTATTACCAATGCAGGACAATTGTCAATTGGTAATACAAGTAAATAGAATAGTAATATATGCAGTACACAGATGTTTTACAAGAATCAAATAATATTTAAATAAAATATAAAACTTCATAATTGGAGTAGTCTTCGTATAGTCTCACGAGTGATCCCGCGTCAACGTTCGTTAAAAATATGTTTAAAAACCACCTTAAATAAACTTCTTCTAAATATGAATCGATGGTTTAAAGCTAAGCTTATCAATGTTGCACTTATCTTTCAATCAATGGAATTAACATTTATCCAAAGTGTTGCCAGATTAGATATTTGTAATCTCGCTACCGTTTATTAATTTATTTTATCTTTGATAGATCGTATTTCGATTACATGCTTTATTACACACATATTATTTAAGATTAGATTAAGCGGTTTAATTAAAAACCAGATAAAAATAGGTAAATATTGTGTTTTGTAATAATGTAATTAGTATTTTTTCACGCAAATGAATTAGTATAACTAAGATAGGAAGACAATGCAAAACTAATGTTTAGTGATAGTCCAAACCAATAGGTATAATTTCCCTATATCAATAAAAATAATATTCAAATAAATCAAAATTCCCATAACCCTTAGTTCACGAAAAATGGAAGTTCTAGAGAAATCTTGGTAGTTTATATGTTTATTATATGTGAATGGCAATAATTCAATGGATGTAGCGGAGGATTTCCGGTGCGCGCGGAGCACGTGTCCCTGTTTCCGATGCCGCCATCTTTGTAACCCCCCCAGCTTCCGGTTACTTACAACCCCTTGTGTTGGCCATGAAAAGTGTTTAAGATTATTTTACATTTTTCGCATTAACATAGTGATGCTGGTTATTTCAACACAAACTATATACTTTATAATATTTCATAATAAATTATATATTTAAAAATACAAAGTTTGTATGATAAAAAATCTATATTGCTCGAGATCAATGTTATTCATACAAAATTTGTTATTCAACCTTATAATAACATGTCTGTCTGTAACTATATGACAATATTTCTAAAGAAAATTGACTTCATTGAGATTCATATTACCAATAGACTATTTACCGTTACCATAGACAATTTATGGTCGGTAATTACATTAATAATGTTCAGTATTATTATAATCAAGCAATAAATTGAAAATAATAATAACTATGTTAATCAATTCAACTGGTTGTGGCCTTTTTGATACTTTTTTTTTTAATTTGTCATCAAAATCATCAATCATAGCTTCCAGACCTTCATATATAAAAATATAAGAATTGTATAAAACTTCTTTAATATAATATCAAAAAGAGACAAAAAAACTATCTACTGAAATTTTTCCAAATATGTATTAGAATCTGAAAACAAAACATTAATTTTCAAATTATAAGTTGATCACTTTGAAAATTGCATTAAATTCATAGTTGCAGTCAATTTTAAAGCAATTCACTGGAGGGGTCATTCTCACCCCCATACACGTGTCGGACACGCGTGCCTAATGTCGTGTCATGTAGTCTACTGCGGTCTATTCAACGTTAAATACGATTCTACTTAAATGGCGATATTAGGGCTTACGTTAAGAGTTTTACGCAATTTCCAAATCAATATATAGAAATTATAAGTAATTTCGTTAAGTCGGTTATTTTATCTAGTTATAAGACATAAGAACGGTATCACTTGATAGCAAAAGTCTAACTAGCAACCCTAGGACCTATTTAAAAAAAACTATGTTACTACCAAAATTATTTCTTTACTTTGCCAGTTAAAACTTTATGTTATATGTTCCTATTAGAATGCATTAATTTTTACTGGTTTATCAATACAGCCCTGCGATTCTGTAATTCACTTTTCGAACTTACACAGCGGTTCGTCGGTCAGTCGTGAAGCAGTCATTTTATGATTTGGTATTCTGATAAACAAATCTACAACAAACAAAACAATATTCGAAAAGTGAGTTACAGAATCGCAGGGCTGAACTTGGATTATAAGGACCACTTTGGGAAAACCATGATCAACTCGGCCTTCGGGTGAAGAACTTTGTCAAAATCGAAATTCGTCTAGACAGATAAAACTAAAATCTTTTCGTTATTAATATATTTCATCATCATAGAGTATATTAGTAATATTTTAACGATTTAGTAGTATATAAACAGACTTAAAATTATGTGAGGATTATAACACCGAATCAGTCTTTGCCCTTTGCCACAACTGAATTAAAAAAACGCGGAATTGCGAAAAGACATTTTTAATCGAGGGCCCGTCGCTAGCTAGTAATTGAAGCCATAATTCTAGCAACCCCAATTTGACATTTGAGTTTTTGCGCGCGAAACTGAATAATTTGTCAGCTAGACATTTTGGGCTTGTGGGGGATGAAAGATGTCAACAAGAGATTTATTTTGATTTGAAAATTAATAACTATATTTAAAATAATATATTATTCACATTTTTATTATTTAAAATTTAAATCTACTTTTTAACATTTGATTTATTGTTTAAAAATAATGCTTTTAACTGATCTAAATGATCTAAAAGATGTTTTTTTTTAAATCTATTAATCAGAAACAACATTGCATATGTTCAAAAAAAGCTGTAGCTAAGATATATGTCTCTTTTACTTTAGTCTATATTAAATCTTGCACATTGTTGTTAAACAATATTAAATAAATAATGTCGCTATTTTTCGTAACACAAGGGTGATCAATCACAACCCTCTGATGAGTATATTACGACCTGACCTTTTTGATAAGTTTGTGAAACAATTTTTGCATATGTCAACCCACGAGATACTGGCAATACTTCAACGGAGCCAACCCCCCCCCCCCCCCCCCCAAACCCCCCCCCACAAACAACCCCCCCCCCCCCCCCCCCCCCAAAACCCCCCAAAAAAAAAAAACCCCAACCCCCCCCCCCCCCCACCCCCCCCCCCCCCCCCCCCCCCCCCCCCCCCCCCCCCCCCCCACCCCCCCCCCCCCCCCCCCCCCCCCCCCCCCCCCCCCCCCCCCCCCCCCCCCCAAAAAACCCCCACAAAAAAAACACAAAAAAAAAAAAAAAAAAAAAAAAAAAACCACCCCCCCCCCCCCCCCCCCCCCCCCCCCCCACCCCCCCCCCCCCCCCCACCCCCCCCCCCCCCCCCCCCCCCCCCCAAACCCCCCCCCCCCCCCCCCCCCCAACCAAAAAAAAACCCCCCCAAAAAAAAAAAAAAAAAAAAAAAAAAAAAAAAAAAAAAAAAAGCCATTATCCATCATGGCGGTAAATGAACTGTCAACGAGATGGCGGGAATCATTGCTAGTTGATGACTTAATTTCGAATAGATAATGTTGTGGATTTACTATAACTTTTTTATTTAGGTATATCTTTCATAGTGTTATTAATGTTCTATATACATAACGTGATATGTAGCGCAGTTAAATAAGTTTTAAAAACGTTGGTTAAAGTTATCAAAATAAACAGATTACGTCCAAGCAACAAATTTTAGCTGATTTCGGTATATATGTATTTTAAAAACTTCCTTGTTTTAATATATATGATAATGATATAAACGTGAAATCATATTATTCTTTGTAGAGTAAAGGTTTTTAACTCAATCCTTAAAAATAAGTCTGTGTTACAATTACTAGTAAAAACTTACCTACTCCAATACTTTTGAATATACTAGAAAAGAAAGAAGCCCTTCTTCTGACGCTCATATTACTCTTCTGTCTGAACTAATGCTCGTTATTATTATTTCTCACAAAATTATGATCCCAATGACAAGTAATACGCATTAGTAAAAAACCCCTCCGACCACGACACGTGCCGCGACATAGCAATGCAATTTACATCCGACCGCTACGATTTGTTACGCTTCCGATGTTCTATATATCACTTTTTGCATTTTAATGATTTATTACTTAATAAGTTCGGGGAGAACTTTTGTGAAAGCCTGCATTTGACTTAACTCCTTTAAGATGCTAGGCTTAATATATAGTAGAACACTCTCACTTGAAAATAAATACTTTTACCGAAACCAAAACCTTGAATTCGTATTTAAAAGGATCTCATTTATCCGATCAAAATCCATATTTTAACTTCAACGTTTGTTACAGAATTGTTCGTAATAAAGCAGCAGAAAAAGCGAAGCATGCGCACAATCAGCAACAACAACAGCAACAAGAGCAAGAAATTACTTCTGCCCAAGGAAGTGTTGTTTCTGTGAGTTATTTTTTTTATCCACTTCAAAAAGCCGTAAACAAGGTTATCAATGTGTATTTTTTATATATATTCAAGCGCAATTGTTTCAATTGATTATCCGCAGCGGATTGATCCCATATTTAGAATACAGTGTAAACTCTTTATAACGAAGAAATCTCCATAACGTAAAAATTAGTTAAATTTATTTAGTTTAACTCAATACCCATACATTAATTCTTCCCTCCCTATAACGAATAAACATGCTCGGTCTCTTGAAATTCGTTATAATGATTTAACAATGTATTTAAAAGTCATAAATCGTTAGAAAATCCTTGTGCTTCCAATTGGTCAGATTTTCGTTGCCCTCTTAAATTGAATTATTGTTATTTGTACCAATTTTTGCAGATATTTTTAAAATAAATAAATAAAATAGATATAAAATACCTCTACTGATTATCCACTCCGAATGGTTTTATTACAATGTGGTGTGTACGCAGGTGATAACCCACGCCGGCAACGCGGGAACAACAGCAGTTCTATCACCAACAACAGAACAACACGTCACCAATACCGGCAGCTACAGCATCAACGGTATACTTGGCATTGAGCAGGTGGAGAGTCTGCATAATGGGAACGGACTGAAGAGAAAGAGGCATGAGGACCAGGGTAAGTAGTTACGAAAACTGTGTTCTTAGATATCATAACAGCGAAGGAAAAATAAGAAACTAGCGGATCCGACAGACGTTGTCCTGCATCATATTTCAAGCGATTAGGATAAGAGGATTTTTAAGAAGGTTATTACTTCCTGTACAAATTATTTTATATAAAAAGTATTGCTATTCCTTCTTGTTATGAATTCTACTTAGCTACTACTATCTGGTATCAAAGGTAACATAGTTTGAAACATTCCAAGTTATTAATGTAACACATCGCCACATGGGACCGACAATATGCCCCACACTATGTTATATACGTTATGTATGAACACAGGGATTAAAACACTGTGGACCCCGCGTCGCGCGTCTTCGCGTCGCGATAGTGCTGTTCCAGTGATGTCGATAATACCATACCTTAAAGGCTTCAGAAATACCGTATTTTATATTAAGAGAACGAGTTAACAAGCCTATCAGTTGCAACATTAAAATAACTTACGTAATACACAGAAATCAATTGTATTGCATAACATTAAAATACTTATTAATATAGTTTAATAATATTGTTTGCGTGGCATATATTATAAAGAAAGAATATGACAAAGTTAAATATTACGTGACACATTTATTGGTTATAATATGCAATAATAATCTATATCGATACTTTAAGTTTAAATCGACATCGTCCAACCCTAGTGTCCCTTCCATAGTGGTGTGCGCTGAGCGGAACCAGCAAGATTTACTGTGCTATTAAAGCAAGCACAAATTGTGGCCATATTATATTAACTTATAACTTCTCTTTAAATTCTAACCCCTTTTCCGGAGTCGGATGTGAGTGTCATAACCGTACATTATCTCATTCCTGTGAAAACGTATATTTGAAAATAAAACATTTTCAAATAAAATACAATGATTTCAAGTTTAATATGGTCCCTTTCAAACAAAGTATAATAATAATTAAAAATAGATTAATAGAAAATAAAAACAAATGTCAAAAGTTTGGTCCCTGTGGCAATGTACTTTTAATGCTGGCATTTCCTCGCTGTATTGCGATACTTAATCGATTCGTTATAATTAAAGTAATATTTTGTAATAATAGTATATGAGGAGAGGCGCTAATGCGCTTGTGCACTTGAACCCCACGGCCCCAAAGTCTATTTCAAAACAATTAGTTTAAGTCATATAAATTCATAAAAAATCATTAAAATATTCATTATTGTTTAGTAAATGAAATGAAAAAATATAAAATTTCATTAAGTAAAATTATACTCAGAGAGAAAAGAGATACTTTTATCGTCCCTGTGACCCAATGCTTATCGTATATAGAGTATTACGTCCCAAGTTCTGAGTTTCATTCCTGGATCAACAATTATTATTGTTTCAGTTTGATAGAGACAGATTAACTATCTATGTAAATTGACAAAAGAATCCGCTATTTTCAACAACAATTCGGACCTTCCAGATTAATTAAATATAGATTATATTCCGAATGAATAATTTAATTTGATTCACGAATCATTATTAAAATAATATTTCATCCAACAGATGAGAACAGAGACTTCAACAGCCATTCGGAGGATGATGTGAAAAGACAGAGAAGTCACTATAATGGAGATCAAATCTATTCTAATGTAAGTATAGTTATACAAATAATTGTTCATAATCGTATTATCCAAATTCAAAGTCATAATGATCGCCAACCTACGAAAAGAAACGGCCCAAGAAGAAGAAAAGCCTCACAATCTTCAAGTAAAGTGTAAATTATTGTAATGTCAGTTAAAATTAACAGAAACATTTACTATAGCTACTATAGATAAGAAAAGCCAGGGGCGATGCAACCTTTTTAGGACTGGGCCTCACATTTCTGTATCTGTTTCATGATCATTTGTCATTAATCAAGTAGGTGATCAGCCTCCTGCGCTTGACACACGCCGTCGGCTTTTTGGGTCTAAGGCAAGACGATTTCCTCACGATGTTTTCCTTCACCGTTCGTGCGAATGTTAAATGCGCACATAGAAAGAAAATCCATTGGTGCACAGCCGGGGATTTAACCTACGATCTGCGAGTATGAGAGTCAGACGCTGAAGCCACTTGGCCAACACTTCTCCTAGTTACCAGCTCCTGATACTATTTAAAAACTTTGGCCCCTGTGGCAGTGTAACTGCACTAAGCAGTACCTATTCCTCGTATTGCAATTCATATTCGTTTAGCGAGGAAAACACCAGCTCTGGGTTCACCGGTATTTACCAGGCGGCCAGGCAGGCCAACTTAAATCTTTAATTAGCGCCTGTGCACTTGAACTGCACGGCCCAACTGTCTCTAAGTCTACTACTCCAAAGGGAACAAAATCATTTACCTTTTTAAATGTTGTAAAACCTGTTATTTTACTTATAATGTAATGATAATTCTTTTGACAGCTATGGTCATCATCTAAATGGAGCTTAAAAGACGAATATAAGTTACTATCGGAGCTAGGAGGAAGCACGGGTTACTACGGCGAGCTATTCGAAGCGCCCTACGAACATCCTGCGCACCCGCACTATGCGTCACACTCCGGTTAGTACTATTTATTTCTCTTCATAAATTATCGCTTATACAAAAATTTTAATTAGACCGAAAGATTTTTAGAAAACAAATGAAGGAACACTTATGCTTTTTCTATATTTATTTGTATGTACCTTCACAAGCTACTATTCCGTGTTTTTAAACCAGCTACTAAGCTGTCTCAGTAATCAGGCTCGTGTCACGAGCGACCACCATTTCACCAAGTACCAATTTTTAAAACTACCATCATTAAACCATTATTAGTCACGCCCTGAAAATTGCTATGGTGACACGCGGTTTGTTGTACAGTGTCAGCTATAATATTAAATTATCGCTGTAATAAAGGATATACAATATTTGTTGATAAAAAGACATATAAACTGTAATGACAATTTTTTTAATAAAAAATGCCGTGTTATTTAGTTCAATGCGTGTGTATTTAGAAGTTACATAGTTAAATAATTAAATACGAACGGGTTTTTGTTATTTATATTTATAAAAGAGAAAAGTAAATCAGGGTTATTTTAAAGAATACAAAACGGATACACGGGAAGCCGACGGCGACAATATTTTTTGAATATATACAGGCAGCACGCAGCGAGGGACCTTCCTATACGTTTCACGAGCTTAACAATTTTTTCGTAGAAAACTTCCAGGTTCACGACCTGCCTTGCGATTCTGTAACTCACTTTTCGAACTCACACAGCGGTTTTCACAGCGGCGGTCGCGCTCAAATCAGTCATTTTATGATTTGGCATTCTGATAAGGAGGGAGCTTGTAGTTTATTGTTTATCAGGATGCCAAATCGTAAAATGACTGCTTAACGACCGCCGCTGCGAAAACCGCTGTGTGAGTTCGAAAAGTGAGTTAAAGAATCGCAAGGCTGGAGGTCTTTGATACGGTTCCTAACATCTCCAGAGTTATCCTTTTTATTAAGTTGTTGCTCCAGATCAATAAGAAAAATACTAACGGTTATCGACAGTTAACGGCTGTTGGAACCTTCTTTTTCATCAAATACCTTCCAATTTATCAATATTTAAGTTTAACACAATCTCATAATACAATTTCTTCCCTAAAATTGTTAATTATAGCTTTCAATGGAAATTATCCTAAAACATAGACGGTATAGCACATAACTGTTCCTAGATTCTTTGGTTGCGGTTGAATTGTTGACATTCAACACCAGAGGTCGCGGATTCAATGCCGTTTTAACTTCCTCATTATTGTTTTTATTATTAGCATACGGAGAATTAGTTTTTTACATGTTATACAAAAAACAGATAACTGATGAACATTACACCAAACCAACTAGATTAACACACATTAATTATGTTTACGCTGTGATTTAACTTAAATTTTGTATTATAATTGGAGAACAACTGTTAAAAATAGAATATGAAACATTAAACCTAGCTTCGAGATAACTTCTACACCTTCCGCGAGTTATCAGAATGAAATTAAAAATCTTTCAAATTAGTTATACTTAATAATAGGTAAGTAATTGTTTTTTTTTCATCAACAATGTCTACACATCCCCTGGTGGGCCTTAGCCTCCTCTATTATATTTCGCCATCGCAATCTGTTTTGTGCTTCTTGCGTCCAACTTCGAACACCTATTGTTTCGAGTTCCTTAACAAATGCATACCACCAACGCAGCCTCGCTCTACCGGGTTTTCTCTTGCCACCAGATTGTGAGTTCGGTTCAGGCTCCGTGGTTCGCCATTCATTGCACATGTCCCAACCATTATGAATTGAACGATGTTGGCGTCGTCAAGTTATAAAGTTCTTCAAATATTTGTATACTTTACTAATACGAGTATAAATCAAGTAATGTGTTATGTGATTACTGAATGGGATTCCGTTTATAATACTTTTAAAATCTCAACAAAAAAAGATATAATAATAAAATATATTTCCTAATTACTTTCAATCCTTAACAATCTGAAAGTGGTAAGACGTATTAAAAATTTAATTTATTCTAAGATTAAAATGAGGAATTTTATATCGAAGTGAATGAAGTTCTCATAGAACAAGTTGTAATAGAACTCTGGGAGTGCGGTTGTTGCTATCAAATGATTATTCCACTTCTTTACGATCACGTGGGAAATTATTAGACCACTAAACTTGTGTATTTATTATTATAGTGTTATTACGAGCAGGCTTGTAGTTTAGTGGAGAAGAGAGACAAGCAAAACCATTCGAAGGAGACCTTCCTCCTTTAATGAATAATTGCTTGTTATGTTTTTATTATTTATTCTTAGAAAACATTTTTAATATGTTATCTAACAATTAATATGAAGTATGATAACAAATGAAGAACGGCCACTTATTTTATTCACATACTTAAAGACTCAAATAAGGTTCAATAATTAATAACTATTGCGGTGCACAGTTTCATGTTATTACGAGCAATTAGCTCGTAAGTCGGATGGTAGCTAATGATGTTTCGCGAGTAAAAAGTCATGTCTTATTTTAAACAAAGGCTTTGATCTGATGATACTGATCCGGATACACGCTTAAGAAGATCAATTAAACAGATGTAATCTGACATCGAATTCAAAAAGGGCAGCCCTAGGCAGGCAGCTGGATTATTTTAATAATTATTATCCATACATTTAAGAATAAGACCGCTTAGATATAGTAGATAGAAATAGAAAGTAGATCTTCCTTTCACTTCTTTCTCTAACATGATATACGCAATAAGGATCTCCATCGGGACCTTAAAGTAGATGACGTCGCCACAATAATAAAAAAGCCGTCACGTTATTGTCGTGTCTATTCAACTCTTTGACACCACGGGCCTAGTGAAAAGACTGAAAAGGACAAAAACATTTGAACTAGTGAATTAGTGCACGTTAGTATTAAGTACTAAACAGTGACTAAATAGAACACAAGAACAAAGTATCTTTCCCTTTAATAGAGACTGTAAGTAGTGTTATTGGACACTTTCTTATGTTAAAAATCCTTATCAGTAAATTAGACTTAAATTACTTATTAGTCTAAAGTTAGGCTAGATCGTAATGTTCCATGATGTTTTAGTAAAGATGCATGTATTAAAAAAACATCAACATATTTTTCCAAGAGCTAAACCTTAGGTATTGTACCTTCTAGATAAATATAGATAGTAAATAGATGTTTAAAATAGCGGATAAAAGGCTTTTTATGCACATACCTCGCTATACATCGCTACGCCGTAAAAAGTTAATCCATTTTCCAACATTGTTTTTAGTTTAGGCAATAAATTTTAAGCTCCCAAAAGCTCACCGTTTAATGAATTGACAAAAATAAAACAGTTTAGAGGCGTTCAAGTTAAATCGCTCGCAATTTATGCCTCAATCAACGTACCCAATACTCGTCTATCACCTGCAAATATGGTTACAATTAACGCGAATAAACGTTGCATACAATAGAGGAGACTTCAATAGTTATGAGGGTAGAGGTTTTATCATCAACCAAGACTTATCTTGCTATAAAAATGTACGCTAGGGGTACGTTCGATTAGGAAGTCGCAGATATCCCTTTTGCGTATAAAGAAAATTAGCAAATAAAGTGAGTTTCCACAAATACATGACTTCATTTAATATATCATAATATAACATTGCCTTTGATTTATGATCTGAATAATTAATTGATTGGCCAATTAATTAATAATTTTTTTACAAATATTACACAAGAGACCATCACTGAACAACTCCTGAAAAATATTAGAAACTCGAAGAAAATAATTACTGAACAACGTTTATAAGCGATTCAAAATATTTAAATTAATTGCTTAAGAAAATAGTAAAAAAGACAATTCCCTGAACACGATGTTTATTTTTCTGTACATTACCATTGTTTTGATGCTTACCACAAAATGTAGCTCTGCAAATTCGTTGGTAGAAAAATATGCTGACATTTAAATGTCATCGCTACATTGTCTTTTTTTTAAACATAATACAAGTTACATAACAGAACCCGGTTGCTATTTTACGAAATTGTACTAACCCTACTGAATTCTAAAAATATAACCTCGAACTGGGCTCTGTATAGTTGACCTGGGACCTCTGGGCACTGTGTGTGTAATCACTCAGATTTTGTAACTTTCAGTTGTTGGAATATACATGTTGGATCGTACTTAAGCACGTACTTTAAATAACTAAATATGGAGCTTGAAATAGTATGACTAATTTTGAACTAGATGTGATTCGCTTTAGAATGAATGTAAATCATTCTATTTACACCATGGAGTCTTCTGTCTTCGAATAATTTTATCACTCTCGTCTCTCGTCTGTTCGCGATAGTCACAGCCTTCACTACAAAATTTCCTTAAATCTGAAATGGATGTTAAATGTTTTGTCCTTATCACACTCGCATGACATTTTGCCTATATGTCACAATCTATAACTAATTGAGGCTTGTAGTATGTTACTGATTAAATTTTTTTGCTCTTCAAAGATATAGAGAAATAAATATTGAAAATATTTTTTAAACATTAGAGTTAATTGTAAAACAAACAGTAAGATTGAAAAAAACAAAAAAATACATACAAACAAATAAGAAAAAACAACTTAGATAAAAAATAGTGATGTATTAATATAATAGCCTCGTAACTCGCGAATCGTGGACTCGATAGCCTTTTTTTGCACATTCGTAATAGTTATAAATCTATCACGTGTGATATATCGTTTCCCGATCGTTTCACGTTGAAATATGTATGATTATGACAGTAAATTATGAATATTGGACAAAAAGTCGGTGAAAAGAACATTTTAATGCCATTTGGAAAGATAATAATAATTCTATTATTACCTTGGATGAATTAAGTTGTAAACAAAATAGAGCAAGTTACATATTCTTGTAACACACACTTTCACTTGTTTTTTTTAATTCGTTGCATACTATAATTTTATAAAGATTTTTCAGAAAACTTGCATAGGTACTTTATCTATTCATAAAAAGTCAGTAGTTTTAAGATAAAACTAATTGTTTAACTATTTGATTATAATAACTATACAATTTCAATTTAAAATCTCAA